GGCAGGGGCAGGTCCTGTCCGGGTGTAAGCTGCGTGTGAACACACGCGTGGCAGGGGGTGTGTGCGGGTGTGCACGTCGGGGGGGGCAGGTGTCTGTGTGTGCACCCGTGTCTGTACCCCTGTGCTCGTGCTCTGCTGCACGGGTGTTGCCCCCGTGGAGGTGCTGGGGGTGTCTGTGTGTGTGTGTGTGTGTGTGTGTGTGTGTGTCGCCTGCCCCCGGCAGCCGGAGCTGATAATTGTGGTTGTTACTGTGAGCCCGTTAATCCCCCGAATCCCTTTACCTCCTGCTCGCGGGGGATTACAAATTAATAAAAGCAGCTTAGGGGCGGGAGCCTCCAAACACACATATGTTCCTGCCGGCCAGAGCACGGGGACTTTCGCCCGTGGGGGCAACGTGGGCTCAGCACCGAGTCCCCCCGGGGGCACCCACGTTGGCCCCACACCTCTGCTGAGCACCCCCGGGTGCCAGGCTCCTCTCCTGCAGGACCTGTAGCTGGGTAAGGATTGTCCCTTCTCGTGCTTCATCTGGCCAGGGGACAGCTCAGACCTGTTCTGTTAGAAAACAAGGCAGAGATCTCTTTTTTGTCTCTCTGTATTAAAAACCCCTTGCAGTTTTTGGGGCCAGGACCTGTGGTCCCCAGCTAAGGTACCTAGAAATGCCAGGCTGGAATACAGCTGGGGTACAGGTACAGCACTGGCAGAGCATCACTGGTACCATGCTGGAGTAATCCCAGGTGCCACGGTGAGTCCTGCTGGGCACCACCAGCACTGGGGCACCTCAACCTCCCCCATGGCCATGACCAGCTGCTGAGGGGCAGGGGATGACCCACACCATCATTTTTATAACTGATTTAAGCTCTTTTTTATAACTGTGTTTTTAGTGTCCTGTCTAAGGAAGCAGTTTGAGAAATTGGGGGGTGGTGGGGTGGTGGCTGCTCCTCAGGGTGTGTGGCACAGGAACAGCTGAGGCTCAGGACAATCAACAGCACGTGCCAGCCCTGCACAGTGTTGGGTTTTCATTGTGTTTTTGTGATGGATGGGGCTTTGAGCAACCCCATCCCATGGAAGGTGTCTGTGCCCACAGCAAGGGTTTGGAACTAGATGATCTTCCAGGTCCCTTCCCACCCAAACCATTCTGATTCTGTTTCCAGCCCCATGGGTCGCTTGCACTGTGGCTCCCTCTGGGCAGGTCTCTACCAAAGCCCCTTTGGATGATCTCTGTGTGCTCTGACTTCCTGCTCATGCTGTAGCAGGCATCAGACCTTGCACCTCTGTAAAACAAGGCAGCAGATGCTTTAACTGTGGTGGTGAGGAGAGAGCACATCCACCCCTGCCCCAGTGTGGACCATGGCTACATCTGCCCTCAAGATGTTTGGCTGAGGAGCAAACTCTCCAGGCTCCCCAGCAGAACATCCATTTTCCAGGCAAAGTCAGAGGCCAGCAGGGAAACTGTTCCCTGGAGAAGTGAGCTGCAGCACCAAACATCAGCAAACCTCACCTACAGGTTTAGGAATCTTAGTGATTTCTAAAAGTACCCTGGAGTGCTTCTGCAGGTAGAGCATCCTTGTTTGCAAGAAGTCACCCACCCTACCTCCTCAGTGGCACTGCAGGCACCAGGAGAAGCTGCAGGAACAGCCCCTGGAGGCCAGCAGCAGCCTGGGCAACAAGCAGACGTTCAGGTTTAAGGGCAAGGAAGATTTGTGTGGGTGTGTGTTTATGCTGTGAAATCCACTGGTCTGAGACTGACACTTTTCCCATCACTTTCCCATTGATTTTATGAGGTTACAGGATAACAGTGACAGGAGTGGAGCAGTTTCCCCATTCCTTGTACTTTTCAATATTAAGGACCTATGCAGTTGGAAAGGAATGTGTCCACAAGCTGTCCTTGCACCACAGTTGAGCTAAAAAGAACTAGAAAGTACCAGTAAAAAGCCCAAACACACCACTTTGCCCAAATGTTTGCAATTTATTTTAAACCAGCACATTAGTTTACAACTTAGTACAAAACAGTCACTTTTCCTTCCTAGAGGTATGAGACCAAGTAAAAAACCAAACCAACCCAAACAGGAGAGACTTGAAAATGTCAAGTTATTGAGTTAAAATAAATAAAACATTTAAGTTACTGGTGTATTCACTACTTTTAACACTGCAATGGCACAGACACCTTGGGGCCTCTTGCTAAGATGATGGTTCCCATCCAGTTCTGAGTAGGAACAGCAGGATGGATACACTGCTGGAAATTTAAAATTAAAGAGTTCTCAGGAATTCCTTCATCAGGTTTCTTTTGCACTTGCAGATTTCTCTATCTCCAGGCACGTTGCAGAGCACTCCTTTTAGTTTTGATGGAGGTTTAGTCTTTCCCCCAAAGAGCAAAGGCGGCTTCATGACTTAAAAAGGGCCAAGAAATCCTTCTCAGGAACGACTGCCACCAGTCCACAGACAAACATGGCACTGCAGGAACTTCTGTGGTACAACTCAACACACAAGTAAAGCCTCCAGGACCGAGGAGATGTTGCTGTGGGGTGATTTTTCAAAAGGAAACACTTCTTTGTACCTCAGGCAGCAATAACACACCCTTGGCCAAGCAGCACCACTCTCCCCAGCAGACACAACGTGTCTTTACAGCCAGATCACAAAAAAGGATGGAATTTGTCATGATAAACAGACAATAAGACCAAGTAAACCAAGATTTACACAACTGAACTCAAAATCAAGCAAAGTTTTCCAGACAAGGCCACTCCCAGCATTCAAGTGAAAGCCTCAGCCAGTTAACTAGCAACCGGGTTAGAGCAACCCAGATAATCCACAGGCTAAACTCCTGTCTTTACACTCCTAAGAAACCAACCAAACCACTGGACGTGTCCAGGTTGGTTCATTTTGTCTTGTTTCCAGCAAGGTCACAGCTACATGGAAGTTAATGGTGTGTACCAAAACAATAACATATTCCAAACCCACATTTGCTGCTGTTTCAGTGGCAAAATGATTCCTGTGAACCCTCACAGCCTCTTGTTTCTGTGTGCAGATGGAAACAAGCAGAATGAGTGGAAGCTAAAAGCCCAGGACCACCCTCCACTGCTCACTCACTGTCTTTCTAGTCACTTGCAAGTAGTTTTAATATTTAAGTCCAGGTGCTACAGAAATAATTGCAGAGACTTATAAATTCCTGAAGAGAAGAGACCCATGGTGCCAGCACTCCTCAACAGTGAGGGTCCTTCAAAAGCACACACTGACTTACAGAAAATTATCAGTTTATGTGCCAATTATTTTGATAAACTTAAGAAACAAGGGATGGCAGATCTTTGAAGCTCAATTTTGTTATTCCAGTTGGAAGCTGCAGAAACTTCTTCACAAAACTGAACGTTTCTGTCACAAACAAGACTTGATTTGATTACAAAAAAAAAAAAGATTATCCCTGGTGAATTTTTGTGCTTTTAGCTCATTCCTGTTGCTAGGCTTTAAACTGCTTTATGCCAGGGCTCAGGATGGAAATAAGAGGAGGACACACTAGCAGTATAAATACAATGAATTGGCCAGGGGCTCTTCATTCCTTCTCGTGTAACTGAAGAGCCCGCAAACATTCAATTAAATTAGAAGTTGCAAATGTAGATTTGAAAGGAAAAGCCTTTTTATATAACATAATTAATCTGTAGAACTCTCTGCCACAAGAAAACATTGAGGCCAAAACCTATTAGGATTAACTAAAGATTAGGTAATGGATAACTAGAACATGCTCAATTACATTGGATAGGATTATAAACTTCACTATCCAGGACGTGAATTATCCCCCCCCAGCCAGGATCAGAAAGGAACTCCTATTCCAAATAGTAATTTAAGAATTATTTTTGTGGTTTCTTCTAATTGCTGCCAGTCAGGACCCCAGAGAGATCCACGAGGGCAACTGCCACACTTCCAGTTACTGCCACATCCCAGAATGGAGCAGCTCCCAGGCTTAGCCAGTAGTTAAACCCTTCCTGACCCAAACTCCAGCAGAAGGGCAAGAGAAATGGGCTGCTCTTCCCAGTGCTGTGCAGGTGAGGAGCCATGTGGGTAACTCAGGCTGCACACTGAGATACAAACTGCCCCACACTCTCATCCTAGCAGACATCCACAGCCTTGGCTGGAACCCACAAGAGAGCGGAAGGCTGACATGAGCTTGTCATGCTTTCTACTATCAATATGCAGTGTAAATAGTATTTCAGAAAGTCACACAGGTTTAGAATGGTTTTAATCAGGTTAGAACTTGTTTCCTAAAAACAAAAAATGAGAATTTTTGCTTCTCCAAATGAAGCAGCCAAGGGAACAGCAGAACCATTCAGTACTCTGGTAGCTAAAACCAGCTCTGGAGAAATTAAAAAAAAACCCCCAACAACCTGACTTGAAGTACACAAAACAAGATCCAATTTCCTTCCAAAGCAGGCACAGCTGAGTGCATAATGCAATGTTTACTCGGAAAATGAGGAAAGGATGTAGGTGGTAAGTAATGGAAAAACCTTCACTGAAAACTGCACTGCTTCCTTCAGAGGCCATCTGATGCTGGCAGCACCGGCTGCCCCCGTGGCAGGCCAGGGCCCTTCCAGCCAGCTCCACAGATTAAACCAGAACACTTGTGAAATGACTCGGGAAGAAAAGGTTTTGCAACAAGGAATACTGCATATAAAAATCCCTGATCATAAATATTAAAGCTGTCTCTGGTACTGAACAGCCACGTACAAGGAAAACTCTTGTTTCCTAGACAGAGGAGCGATAATATTTCACCTTCCACCATTTCGATCTCATTCGGAAAAAAAAGTACATGATCATCAAAAACAAGGAGGATGCTACGTACAGGATGACACAGAGACTCATGTCTAGGTTGGAAAAGCCAATCCCTAGGAAGGACAGGGCCTGCTTTGTCTCTTGGAGGTTAGCTGATCCAGCTGCGCTGTTACCGCTCTCTCTGACAGCTCCACGATTTGCTATTAGCTTATCTAACACTTTAGATCCTGAATCCAGGGGTTTTCCTTTATCCTGGATCTTATTCTCACTGTTTCCACTTGGTTTCTTCAACAGGCTTTTGTCTTGCACCTCCCTTGCATCTCCCTGTTGGGTTTCAGTGGAGTCTGTCTGGCTCTCAGTGTATTTATACAGGATATTTTCACTGCCATAGTGATGCTTCATGAACTGCAGAACTTCGGCTTCGTTCCAGCTGTGCAATCCTTTAATTTCTTCATGACATGAAGGACAAATGTCTGGAGTTGGCCACTGGACTTTGGGAAATTTTGGATCTTCAGTCAGATCACCTAGTTGGGGGGAGAAAAAAATAAAAGCAACACAACTAAGTGAAGAAGGGAAGCTGAACATCAGGGACTTCACTGGAAACCACTGGGTATCTTCCACTTATGAATAGGTAGGTAGGCAAAAAAAACCCCCCACAGCACAGAAATGTTTATATTGAACTGAAGACAATCATCAACAAATTTGGAACTTCCTAAGTTTCCTTATGGATGCACCAATTACATTCCAAAGTCTTGCTTCCTCTTGCAAAATGCAAGCAGTAAATCACACTCCTTTTCCTTTTCTCTCAGTGAAAGCTGCAGCATTAAAATCCTAATAAAACCAGATCCTACCACTGCTGTGCTTTTAGGAGACACAAACCCAGCTCTGCTCTGGCCTCCCAGGGGTTAATGTGAACCACGGTGCAGCACAAGCTGCTCTTTCACACTCCCTGCTCTGTAATCCCCAAGCCTGGTTTGCAGAAAGCACTTTCAAGGCCAAAGGCTTGCAGATATTTTCATGTTCCTATAGTGTGAACCACTCCATCCTAAGCCTATTTTTTCATAGCTGACATTATTACTGTAGCAAGCTATTTTCAATACTTTAAAGACCATGGTGATATTTAAGATGTATTTTTTAGCTTGCTTTTTAGCATTTAACATATCAACGTGGTCTTGAACTAGATCCAGTTTTAACATTTCAGTTGCTCACAGCTCTTGCCACCTTTCTGTCTTGATGGCAAAGAGCTGAACACTGTGGCTACTGTTGCATTTTGTTTAAAAAAAACATTTTAAAATGTGGGTGGAGATAATTTTTAGAACAAAAATCCCTACCTGGTAAAAAAAGCTAATTTATTTATCTGCTTGTCACTAATCAGTGACAATGGACACTAGTACACTGTACACTAATGCTTAAAACATTTCAGAAATAAATACAGATTCTTATTTTATTATTCTTTTTAACCTTTGTAAAGGCAGGAAACTTTCTCATGATCTTGAGCAAAAATATTGTTACAGGATTCAAAAGATGCTTAAAAATTCATTGTTACTTTTATCCCTTGTAAATGCAGGAAACTCCCCCATGACTTTGAGAAAATATTGTTATGGGATTAAAAGATGCTGAAAAATATTTGTCATCTTGACATTTACATGTAAAAGAGCAAGTCTGTGTTTCAGGTATCTTAAAGATCACTCAGTATGAATTTGTTTCAGTGAAGTAGAAACAAAACCTCTTCTGCCAAGATTACAAACAGAAAACTTACTCTAGATTCTAAAGCAAGAGGGAAGAATTCAAGAGGGCAGAACCACACACAACAACCACACGGCCAGCACTTGAAGGCTGTGCCAAGGTGCAGTAACCATTTCTCATCAAAAGCTACATGTATTCCCAGAAATACAGATGTGGCTTTTAAGGATGAAAATAAGTCACTGTCCCGAAGGGAAATTTCAGCAAACTTAATAAGCATAATTTAACATTATTGTTTACTCCAGTATGTTTATACTTCTTACTAAAAGGGTATTTTAGCTGGCTGTTGCATCATCTGAATCAATACCCATGTGAGTTTTCCAATAACTTAATGTTCTAAATAAATTTATTGTTCTACTACTTAGCAGCTCCCAGTCCCCCCCAGCACCTTTTTCTGTGTTCAGCCTGGCAGCAGTAACAAACAGTAGGGGATGGTTTTATTTCATCTCTCTTCATTTACTTTGTTCTCCTTGGAGAAAGGAGACAAACTGTTTATACTCACAGCAGCATTTAATACTTCATAAATCTCAGGGATTCAGCATAATCATAATATAAACACAATATAGCATATTTAAATTGTAACTAATGCTACATTACACAGATCCATAACAGCAGATAGGGATTAAGTGCAAAGAGAAACCAATTTTCTTTAGTGCTTTAGTTACTTGATAGCCCTGTAATAGAATGGCTTAAATACAACCAGTATTTTAACAGTACTTCTAGTCTAACTGAAAACACAGCAATCTAGCAGGGAACAGATTTTCTTCATAGAGTAATTTTATTTTAATCAGCAGCTGATCTGCTAATAGTTTAGGCTCTTTTATCCTGAGAAAGTTTCCTGTTCAATCATCATCATTTTCTATATAGCATCTCTCTGGAACAAAATGAAGACAGATTTTAACATCTATCTAAACTGTTACAGAAAGAAATGTCATTATTTCTTATCCACCAATAAGCAGCTGAACTGTATTGCTCCTTTCTGAGAAAGCTTTGATTTGTACTCCAGAAAGATCCTCTCATCAAGCAACAGGGGAAACCTCAGAAGGAACAGAATTATCTTTGAGAATGATAATGTTTTTTCATTCTATAAACTAAGAGATAACCATGGTACTGGAGGACAGTGTATCTCAAGTGTGCCTTCCTCACTCATGCAGAGGTTAAAGTGGTGATTTTGGGAGTTACAGCAGATTGGGATGCTCTAGGTTTTGTTTTACATGCAAATACCCTTTGCTGTACACCAATGTAAAGGTGCCAGTATTTAATAAAGCAACATCAAGCTGGAACAACCATTACTGTTCTTTTAAACCCATGTTACAGGGCCAGATTTGCATCTCTCTGTTCAAACACAAACCAGGCTGTACAAAATGCCACAGCCTTGTCTTTCAGACACCCACGCCCCTGGTGGGCTCTCCTGAGCAAGGTCTTCCATACCTGCAAGCCTGTTATTCACCACGTTGTGCTTCTCCCACAGCCAGAGAACAGCCTTGTCTAAGGTTTTCACAGAATCCATGGACTCTTTAGCCATCTCTTCAAAATGCTGAGCACAAGCCTTGCATCCAAAAAAGTGCTGAATGTATCTCCGCATGATCTGAAGTACAACTTGGGGATCATCTTCAAGACCTAAGGAGAGAGATGATAGATGCATTTACCACCAGCTGGACAAACAGCTTCAACGTGGACACTTCAACATACCTAACAGTGAACCCTGGGGAAAGGAAAAGAAATGTTACTGCCTTCCTGCTCCATGCAAATTTACACCTCCTGGGCAGAGATAAGAAACGAGGCACTTCTAGTTTGAAGACACACACAGCATGTGCCATCATGCAGGACTTACACCTTTGAGCCACAAACACACTAGCAGGATCACAAGCTTCACACAGTTCTTCAAAGAAAGGCACAGCCCCAACAAAATACATACAAAATATTGTCACTAAGTCGTTGAGGTGTGACATCCAGAAACCAAATTATTTGGCAATAAATAACGTAGAGTTTAAAGTGATCTCAAACAGCTCTCAGCAACACAGTGTCTTGAAATGTTACCTGGGATGTCAGACAGCTGTGAGGGAATGATTTCAAACTCACTAAGGCTCAAAAAATGCTAAGTGAGCAATAGTGTTATTAAAAATGTGAAGCAGCTATTTATACCAATCCACACCAACTGATTTAGTCTGTATAACTGTGCTCAGAGCTACCTTGAACAACACATTACAGTCAGAATTAAAGGTCAAGTGTTCTTTACAGTGAAATTTCTCCTTTCAAAGACTCTCTTACAATTTGAGGGATGAACAAACTTAGCTAAATTAAAATCAGATGTTACAATTTTTTTTTCAGAAGCCATTATGAGAGTACATTTTGGAATAGTTAAAACATGCAAAGCCCACACTGTCTATACTTCACACAGCTCTTCTGGAAGCAGAGACTTTCTCCAATATCTTGCCTAATAACTAAATGAATATTATGGTTATGCACTCACCACTGCATTTATGCTCAGGCACTGAAGTTGTGGTGACCTTGCTCCTGAAAAATCAGGAGTCAAAACCCCTCTGGTGAGTATTTTACAAGGTGCCTGTGCTGTTTGCTACTCCATAACTTTGAGATATTACAGAACAGCAGAACCTCATTACAGTTGTTTAATTCCATGGCTTTTTTGGCAGGCAGTGAATGCATGCACAGAACAGCTACTTAGCAACAGTTAAACTTTCTAGAGTAACTCAGGAATTGGTCCTTCAATAAATACAAACACATTATTCTTTCTCTAACATTCACACTTTTATGTGGAAGATAATGCAAAAGAATTATGATTTTCTTCAGAAGTAAGCTAAGGTCTTTACAGATTGAGAATTTTGTCCTGTGCCTCTAGTGTAACAGCAAATAGTTCCTACACTGGGAAGTGGCTTGAAATCCTGACATAATTTGTTGAGATCCTAATGGTTTCATCTCTGTCTCACAGATTTTCTGATTCATGCTTAATTGACCTAGTAAATAATGCCAAAATGTATTTACAAATATACTATACATTACCACAAACACACACTTGTCAAAGGAAACACATTTTATGATGCAGATTGATCAAATTACCAAGTGGTGCAGCTGAACACCTCTACCATGAGTAATTCACCAGAAAGGGTTTGCAGGTTCTGCAGCAAAGGGATAAGGAGCTTTGCTCACTGTCCTATTCTGGCAGTGAATAAACAGTTTGGTAGTGCATATGCCTTTCCTAAATACATTGTTTTTTGGGGAAAAAAATACCCTCAACAAAACTTGTTCTGTACTATCAGTACTTCCCTGTTATGTTCACAAGAAATGCATGAAGACTCTCACAGACACCTTTATTTAGAACAACAACATTATATTCTTAAACATGGCAGTCAATAAAAAAGAAGTCTTCAAAGCCAAAAAGAAATCACAAAAAGCAAACAATCTCTACTCAGACATTCAATATCTGTGATTGAACAGGCATGTATAAATAAAAGCTATGAGATTAAAACAGATTAAATTAGAGTATTAAAAGAAAGGCTGAAAAATAATTTAGGAAAGTTGAAACAAATTTCAGGCAAAACAGTTTTACCATATACACTAAAATATGTAGTTGGAGGAAAAAAACTACACCAGGCACAACAAAAGTGACTCCTAACAAATAACCTCTACATGGAGGAAAAGATATTCATACACAAATTTAATTATAGCTGCTCTCCTGTGTAATATTACCCACTTGAAAATTAATTTTGTCAGGAGGTCTTTCAAATTCAGCGACAGATTAAAAAGAATCCAGACAATTTTCTAATAAAATCCACAAGCCTGTCTTGTTCACACCAATAGCTCCTATTACCTAAAACCACATTTCATGTCATTCCACGTGCTCAGGACTAGATTTCTACAATGATTTTACACATCCTCAGATGGGAGCAGTTCTCTTCAGAGTTCCTCTGGATTCCCTTGTGCTGCTCTCCCACTGCAGGTTCCAATTACACCGTTCAACATTAAAATGTCTCAAATACAAATCAATAAAAACATTATCACCAGAAAGCCACAGCAAGCTCATGCTGACTGCCAGACTGTAAGGAGAGGAAACTATCAAGAAAAATACAGCTGCTTTCAAAAGAAAACAAACAATTGCAAAATGGCTCATTTTGTTTGTTTTTCTTTTACCAGCCCAGAGATGAATCTTCTATTAACATCTGCCATGTATCATCGTGTAATCCTCCTTTTCTCTTTCCTCCCAAACTACTGCAATTCAGGGTAACCCTAATCTTTAAAGTGGACAAGAACCATAAAACCCTACCTGTGGTGGGAAGGATTAGGGAGTACATCATGCTTTTTAGTAGATGGGATTTAAACAAGCAATAAGGAGAGGAAAACCTCCCAAGACATAATCCGACAGTCTCAGACTGACCCAATTCTCTGGCCATAAGAAGTGATCATCACATATCTGGCCCCATTTAAATTGATGGCTGAGTGTGCCAAAGAGTTTTCAGGTTCTGCAGTGTGTTTTTAACTTCAGACTGGCTAGAGCTCCTGCTTGAAACATGGGAGCAATTGAAGATCCAATTTTGTACAGTTAAATATGAAGAATATTTTTACCTTTAATTAGAATGCTTTTGGCAACTGGGACAAAAGGGGATATTTAACTTAAGCATGATCCTCTTGAACAGCCAATGTATCATGCAGTACAAAACCCCCTGAACTCACCAGGCAGAGCACAGTACTGAATTAAAGGCATTCAACCTACTGTCCCATGAATAAGAAACAAAACAAGGCAGAACAAAGACAGGAACAAAAATTAACCACAGGATGATTAGCTATCAAAAAAACCCTCCACTCTGTTCTGCAGGAGATTTAATATTATGAATTGAGACATTTTCACTGTGATTGCAAATAATGCTGGGCACATGTATTTTTTAGAAAATACTATGTTATAATTTCCAGTTATGGATACATACAATGAGACACTGACAAATTGCAAATTTTTGAGTTTTCTGATCTAATGACAGCCCAAGCAGCATTCTTATATTCCTTGGGAAAAACATTTAAAAAGCTTTAAATGAAAACTAACTAGAACTATAACCAAACAAAGCACAGTCCTGGCAAGAATAAAAACACACGAAGGCAAATATTTTAGCATTAGCAATTCTATTTCCATTGTGTGAGGAAAACAGATTCTACATCTAGCATGTTTCTTAAATAGGAAACAGCACCAGAATTTTAACACTTGGCTTCACAAGATGCTGTGATTCTAAAAATCAGCAGTTTTACAGAGTGCTTGTAATGTAGGATATCACTGCACAGATTAATGGACACTAGGTATATTCAGCTGAAAGAAAAATCCCAACAGTCATAACATTCAGTATTTAGAAAACAACATTACAGGAGGATTGTAGTTGTACATCTTTTAGAGCTACTGAAGTGTACAGTTAAACCTCATTCTTCTCACATTAAATTAGCAGTGCAACCTCAGCTAACCTGAATCATCTTCATTCCTTTTCAGTTAGTCCAAGATTTCTTTGTTTGAAATCTTCTCCTTTTCCTGCTTCATTGCTCACACACTTTATTCCCCACATTTTTAAGTGAGGACCACCTGACAGGCTCTCCCTGCAAGCCCTCCCTCTGCAGCACAGCTACGCTCTGACCTCTGCTGGTGTAAACCTGAAAGCCAAGCCTGGGCACCCACTTCCCTCCAACATATGGCTGGAGTGTTTCTACCCAAAGACTTGCTCTAATCTGTTACTTTTTCTATTGCACAGCAGAACTGCTGCACAGATTTGTCTTGGCCTTCAAGCCTCTCACAGAGCTGCTGCTTACCTGTATTTAGCAGAGCTTTTGGTCGCAGTGCAGCTTGAACTGTCAGGGTATGAAACAGCTTCCAAAGGGAGCAGGTATAACCTCTCAGCTCTGGTCTGCTGCCCTGGCATCCAACCCACTGGACTTTCTTAGTGAGAAATATCCCAGAAATCTGGAAAAAAAAAAAAAAAAGTATTTAAGATACATGCAGCTCTGGGACCTAAATGCACTACTGAACATCCCAGCAGTCACAGCTGATTCTCCCCTGAAACTGAGGTGATGCAAGGATAAAACATAATAATGACTCTCTGCACTTGTTACTAATGAATCCATGGGTAAGGCAAACCAATTTTAAACTTCTTACAACCCTTAAATCTGAGACATTCTGATGCACCATTATAAAACTCATCCCTCTTGCAAAAATGTTCCATGATATAGTATACACTGATATCAAACCCACTATAATGCACTTGACAAAGGTCTAATTAGTCTGACAGAATACGTTAAGTAGCTTAACTTGTAAAGTTTTTTCTAAGCACAGAATGAACTCAACACAAATACTACCATAAACTCTGACAGAGCTACAGTTTCCCTAGACACATTAAATATTCCATATTACTCAACCAGATCCACACGACTTAACAGAAAACTCATCCCTCTTGCAAAAATGTTCCATGATACAATATACACTGATATCAAACCCACTAAAATGCACTTGACAAAGGTCTAATTAGTCTGACAGAATACATTAAGTAGCTTAACTTGTAAAGTTTTTTTCTAAGCACAGAATGAACTCAACACAGATACTACTATAAACTCTGACAGAGCTACAGTTTCCCTGGGCACATTGGAAATTCAGCCAGATCCACACAACTTAACAGTGGTAATAACAGGACAAGATGTAGAATTTTTTATTATTTCTTCTTAAAACAACACCACTACTTAACATTTATACCTAAAATCCAGTGCAAGATTTCCATTTCGAAGACTTATCTCTCTGCTTCCTAAAACACACAGGAGGTTTCCAAATTGCAGACAGCAATCCCATTCCCCAGGAAGACTCATATTAACTGTCACAGGGCTTGGTGTTACCACACTGAGAGGGGTTCCCAGCAAGGCCTTTGCTGTGCTAGGAAATGAAAGAGTATTTGGGGAACCTCTTCAGGAATACTGCCCATTTCAGTGAGTCTATTTCCCAGCACTTCAACTCTGACCTTCCAGAGAATCCTGCTGACAGGAGGCACAGTGAGCAAAGTAACTCCTAAGTATCCACTGGGAATCCTGCACCACTTGGGGCTGATGTGAGGGAACATGTGTATGTTAGTGGTTGCTTAATTATAGAACTCAGACAGGATTGTGCATTTCCATTCTCTCATTTCAATTCCTTCATGTGGATTTTTCTTTTTCTGGTAATGATTTCACTTTATTTCCATTTTAACCTTCTTATAACTCCATTATGACTGAGGGACCATCAGTAAGTGATGTCTTTGATTTATACAGAATCTTATCCTTTCCTAATGCTGTATTTTATGCTGGAAACTAGGAACAGCTTACCCGCATTTTGTTGTTGACCAGATCTAGGATAGCATCATAAGGGATTTTGTCTAATGGAAGGCTCACCAGCCACTCTTGCAAGGTCTCTAACAACTTTACCACAGGCTGACGGCCAGGAAAAAGCTGAGGGGAAAAAAAAAGGAAGAAAAGACCCATGTTTTAAAGCACAAATCTCATTAGCAGCAAGACACTTTTATCTTTATCGAAATGTGTTTTTTCCTGTCTTTAAAATGCTTCCAATTTTCTTTTGTTATGAACAAATTAATTACTTGTTCTGCTTTCAATACAAAGCCAACTCACATTAACTTTTGCTTACAAAGTTTAACAAGCTGCAGGCACAAAACATTAACCAGTAAAATGAAGCTACTCAGTAGCAGGCAGAAATGCTACACAACAAGTTCTGATAGATTACATTGAATTTCAGAGTAGGGCAATTCAGCTCAGTGCATAGCTCAGAACAGAGCAAAGGACCTAAGTGAGCCAAAAAGGCTGAAATCTTTCACACTCTTAGAAGATAAATCACAAAAATTAGTTCTTCTAAAACTTTTTCCCAGATTTCTGCAAATGTAGAAGATGGTTATCTAGCAGAGCATTTTCTTTTTGCATATGTGCAACAGTTATTTCCAAACTGATTTGGAAACACTGATTTCCTTAACTTGCAAGAAGTCAGAGTGTGGCAGGTGAGTGTGAGGAACTGTAATGCCACTATTTTACACTAGAAATGGGATTTTGCTTTACCAATGGTTGTAATTACTTTAGAGTTAAGCAGAAGATGCATGCCATCCTCTCCATACATACCCTTCCAGAAGGAGCTGTATTTCAACAGATGGGGGAATTAAAGTCCCCATAACTGCTACATTAAACACATGAAGTGATTTCTGACAGAACATGCTATACATGCTAGTCATTCTGCAGCTGTTGTCCAACTATCAATAATATCTCTAATCCATAGATTGTTTACTTGATACCACACAAACCTAACGGGCAGGAACTCCCTCTGCTAATGGTCTGTATGGTATCCAACACAAGGGACTCTGTGCTTGTCTGGGTTTAAAAACAACTCTTTGATAGTCTGTAAAAAAACAGCACACCTCTGAACTACTGACTGCACACTCTAAGTACACTTAGCCCTATAGGATGCCCAGCATGTCAGGCATTACTACCTAAAAGACAATAGTTGCACAGTTTCTCAGCTAGGTACTGATCTCATGGAGGATTCAAAATCAAAACCTATCCCTACAACAATGAAGATTCCCTAAGTAGAGAATCAAAGACCTCAGTGACTTAGGATTTATCATCACTATAAATGCTGTTGCAGAGGATAGTATAAAAAGTTTGCCAATGGAAACACCAGAGAATCATGAATAAGAACTATGAGGAGACTGCTCCAGGCCACGAGAAGGCAGATGAAGGAGAGCAGTCCCCCCTCCTGGAGGGGCAGGCTGGAGGTAAGCAGGCACTACAAGAGAGCATTCCCCATTTGTGCACTAATAGCCAGGGAAGCAAATGACATCAGCTGGCCAGGAGCCATCAGGAAGCACAGAGGATGTTTTAGGGATAATATGATGGAAAGATTACCACCACTTTCTTAAAGAAATGAGGCCAGCTAGAGATTTCTGATCTTTGACGGCTGCGGGGGGTGCAGGGCAAGAAACTGTCTGATCTTCAGATAGATGCAGATATTTGGGAACAGTTCACAAGAAAACATAAAAAGACATTGGTCGTTTCAGTAGGCTTACATAATAATTTGTTTTCCTAGTCATATGACATTATATTACACATCTTGTCCCTTCACTCAAATATGTAAGTACCTTCATAAGAAAACATAAAAAGACATTGGTCGTTCCAGTAGGCTTACATAATAATTTCTTTTCCAAGTCATATCACATTATATTACATATCTTGTCCCTTCATTCAAATATGTAAGTACCTTCATTTTTTAAATATTCCATTATATTCAATACTTCAACTACTTTCAGGTAATTAATTATATTCCATACCTTGATTTTATACAAAATTTAGACAGAAGTTACTAATATCTCTAAATAGAATACCATTTGTCAAGTATGCATTAACAAAATCCAAGTCAAGAATGAAAAACAAAGGTTTTTTTAATCACACTCAGTTACAACAGCAACTTATCCTGAAAATCTGATAAATGGTCCATATATTTAGTGTTTTTTCAATATGCTGCAGACTACTTAAGTTTCATTTAATTTTGAGCCTTCCAAGATTAAATAAAAATGCATTTCAGCCCTCTAAGTCAGAACAGCATGCAATAACTCAACATTTAAAGAAACCCACAAAACGATATTTTTAAGCTACTGAGGAAGCACACATTTAAACACTCTGAAAGACAGTTTGAGAGACTTATGTCACATAATAAATTTTAACTTAGAGTCACTTTATTCTTACAAATAATCAAAGATTAGAAGTGTATACCTTGGCAGAGATGGTCACAAAATCCTTGAAGGTCTTCAGCTCAGCTCCCTCCAGAGTCTTGTGCGTGGCGAGCTCTACCCTGAGCAGGTAATGCAATCCTGACTCAAGGTCAGCCATGTACAGCTTAGATCTGGAACACAAATATATCATGCTAGAAAGTGGCAGGTTTCTTTCTCTCATTTTCTCACCCCTCGTAGAGGTAACACTGATATATAGTAGGTGTCATTACAACCTCCACGTTTGCCACCCCACAGTGATTGCTGTATACCCCCCACCACCCTGGGAAGCCACAGCAGTTACCTCAGGTGTGCTCAAAGTCAAGTTCAATGAGTTTCACCACCCTCTTTTAAAAGAAGTCATTTTCTGTCATTTTGTTCAGAGTTCAGACAAATGAAGTATAACCACACGTAAGATTTTCCTTCATATTTGGCTAAACATTTTGCCTCCCTGCCAGCTCTGCCTTGAAATGAAATTATAGCCCTGACATTGTCAGGAGGAAACAACTGAAGAAATTACAGCTGCTCTTCAGGACTGACCACAAAGAGAAAAATGACATGCTATGAAAAGAGGGAGACTTGTTGAACAGAAGTAGATTATACACAGAGCAGGAGTGCAAACAAGCCTGGAAAAGGTCAATGTTGGAAAGGACTGCATCTAGAAATCCTCTCCCAAATGCAGCAGTTTTACTCAAGGTTGTTTGCATACAAGTTTCACAGATGATTTGAATCACACCAGCTCTTAGGACAGAATTAGGTACCTTAGGACAGGTACAAGTAAAACATGCAAAACCCCCAAAATTTTAAGTGTCCTTCCTCACAACAAAATATGTTCCTAATAGAAAAACACTTTCCAAAGTACAGCTGCATCAATTAAACCACCTTACCATTCAATGCTTTCAGAGTAGAAACTTTAGACAGTACAATACAGAGCAATGGAACTGACCAAACACAAATTCACACAATTAAGAGAGTTAACACTTCTTGTAAGAGTTCAGCAGCAGTACAATTTCCAAAACCACGCAGAATTAAAAAAAGAGTAATTCAAGAAACTGGCTGGACCCACCTCCTACATAACACTCAAGAAATAACATTAAAACACAGAATAATCTATATTGTAAATAACTCAAAACTACAGACTTATTCTGAATTTTTCTCCTTAAATTAATAACATACTCACTTAAATTTTAAAAACCAGCAAAATTCTGCTTCAAGTTTCTGCAATAGAGACATCCACATGAATGCATGATGTTCACCCAAAGGATCTTATTTAGAAGATACTTGAACTGGAGATTCATATCAACAAGAGTTTGTCTTGCTGGAAAGCAGCTCAATTTAACTAAGTTGTTTTGATAACAGAATGTTTCATCTGAAGTATTTTATAATAGTCACTGAAAGAAGATGACACTAATAGTGTCTATGAAAGAATAAGTACAAACATGAAAGCACTCAGCCCTACATCTTTTCCATCTAAAGATGCTGAGGGATTATCTCTCTGCAAAGCCTTTGCAT